AGGGAGGGAATACTTCTGGCTACTGTCAGTTGCGTTGCACAGAGTTCAGAGTATAGTCTTAAGAGAATTGAAATCCTCTATTCCAAGTGTGGTCTGTGGACAAACAGAATTGGAATCACCTGGAAGCTTAGTACAAATGCAGAGTCTCAGGCCCCACTCTGGACCTGCTGAATCAGAATCTGCATTTTAACAAGATTTCCAGATGCTTCCTGTGCACACTGAAATTTGAAAAGCACTAATTTAGAGGAAGGTTCAGGAGCAAGAAGAGAACAGACAGGAAGGAATCGAAGTGAATTTACCCTTGAGATCTAGGCATCTCTTTATCTTTGAATAAGACAGAATTGCCTAAGGTGTTCATTCTTCTCTCCCTCTGTTTGTGAAGAGCTGACATAAGGACGGCCAGTCATAAATGCACTGAGTCCTGCTTAGTTTGAAGGTCTGTGACCTTGACTCTCTTACCTACTTTTCTGAAAGCGTGCTTCCTCTCATTCCTTTGTTTAAAATCTTGCTGAAGGAGAGTGAGGAGGAGAAGTGAAAGTGGAAAAGGTTTGTTTCCTTGTGCCAAAGAGCGGGGCAAGGAGAAACTAGTTGATCGGAGCTTGGGGGAAATTTTTAAATGTCCCTCATCACATTCTTTAATAAAATCCAGTGATGCGCAAGGTGCTGTTACTTAATATAGGCTATAAGCTAATGGGTCAAGAACAACTGTTCATCCACTGGTAAATCTGTAGTTCAGCCTTCAATCTGACAGGTAAGGAATAGAAAAACCAGACCGTTAACCGATGACTAATTCCCCCCTCTACCCATCTCCTAAATCCTAATTGCTCTGATACTTGCTTGGGTTAAGATGGCCATAGATAATTCTAGAATAGAAGTCCAAAGAGAGCCCCTCTCACATACAATGGAGAGTGTGGGAAGAGTACGGGGAATGGTGTTTTGCTGAGAGTGTAGCCGGAAGCCCAGATGTCAGGCTTTCCCTCACTGAGAACGAATTCCTGAGCCCCCTGAGCCTCCGTGAAGGGGCAGGGACCTGCCGAGAGGGCAAGTAAGCCCTCTCTGTTCACCGCTGTGACTCAGGTCACACGTTTGGTGCTTTGTATCTGCCCAGGTGTGACTTGAGAAGGCGGGCCCTGAGATCCCCAGCCTTGATCCCTACGGCCCCTGCTAGGCTAAGCGTGAGAACTACCTCTCATGGATCCACTTTATAGACTGACACCTGTGGCTATGAGTCCTAGGAAATGCTGTTGGATTTTTTTGTTTTTCTTTAGTGTCACTTTTTCTTAACCTAAGGTTGTAAGGCTACTACGTTTGAGGTCTTTTCTGAAAACACTTGAAATGTATTTTAAAGAGAAAGAAACATTAATCTTTTGCGGTGCATCTTTGAGCCTCTATTGCGATTGAGTATATTTGTAAATAAAGTTTTATTAGAACCAACCATGCCCATTCATTTACAGATCGTCTGGCTGTTTTCCTGCTACAATAGCAGAATTGAGTGGTTACCACCATATGCCCTGCAAAGCCAAAAATATTTACTGTCTGGTCCTTAACAGGAAAAAAATGCCAGCCTGACTTAAAATAATTGCATTCTTAGCACATCTTGCAAATTCAATCCACTTAGGGTAGGTAACACCTAAAAACACGGCTTGTCACTCAGTTTTCTAAAATCTTTTCCATC